CTGCACTTTTTGTTCTTCCAAACAACAGCCTGGACTTACCTTTAATCTTCGGCGGTTCATTCTGACGTACCAATTCGTCAGAACATCGACAAACTTAACCAGGCGAGGCACCACAGTATAGAGCCTATAAGCTAAAAGGAAGATCAATCAATCAGGCGGTGAGAATAGACAAAGCATTTGGGGTGCTTGGGGAAAGGGGTAGATACAAGAAAAGAACAAGCAACCCTGTCACTCAAAGGTCGCCATGCTCGTTAGGAAAGAGAATCAAAGTGAAGCAATCACAATGGCTCATTCACTTGAGGACACATACTTCCTGACTGTCAAGTGTCTTGGGGTGCACACAAACCGCCCTGTGAGCCACTGCCAGTTTGAACAATGAAAACCCCTTATGTGTGGCTGAGAGACCAACACTGCCCATCACATGACTCCAGCAGGAGGGTTTACCTGGAGCTGTGCAATGCTGCAGCACCACAAAATACCGACTTCCTTCCACTGTACTACTCTGTACCTCAACTAAGTCTGACACACAAAAAGTTCTAATTAGATGTTACGGGGCATAGCATAGGTCAGCGTTTCTCAACCAGAGCAACTCTGTACCACAGGGGACACTGTCTGGAGACATTCTGGCTGTCATAACTGAGCAGGTAGGTGCTCCTGGCATCTGGCAAAGGGACCCCGCAATGCTTGTTGCTCAACTGCTCAACATCACAACACACAGCACAGCCCGACAATAGAGAACAACCAGGCGCAAGCTATCCATCATGATGCCACTGAGAAACTTAGCAAGAACTGTGAGTAAAACAGAACAGGCTTTCTAATACCTCATTTACCATACTTGGTTTTATTTTGTTTTGCAAATTTTTTAAAATATAAATTGTATGTTTTTGGCAACCCTGCAAGTTTATCAGTACCACTTTTCCAACATCATTTGCTCAATTTGTGTCTGTCACATTTTGGGGATTCTTGCAATATTTCAAACTATTTCATTATTATACTTGCTATGGTGAGCTGTGCTCAGTGGTCTTTGATGTTAATATTGCAACTGTTTTGGGGTATCATGAACCGTTCCCACAAAACACTGCAAACTTAATCGATAAATGCTGTGTGTTCCAACTGATCTGACTGCCCCTCCCCCCTCCTACTCCTCAGGCCTCTCCATTCCCTGAAATACAACATTAAAATTAGGCCAATTCATAGACCTACAATGGCCTCTAAGTGTTCAAGTGAAAGAAGAGTTGCACAATTACTCCTGAAGATGCTGTGAAGATTGTTGAAATGATAACAAAGGATTTAGAATACTACATAAACTTAGCTGATAAAGCAGCAACAGGGTTTGTGGGAGACTGACTCCAATTTTGAAAGAAGTTCTACTTGGTTAAAATGCTATCAAACTGCATCCCACGGCACAGAGAAACTGTGCAAGAGTCAACTGATGCAGCAAACTTCATTGTTGTCTAATTTTTAAAAATTGCCACAGCCACCCCAGCCTTCAGCACCACCACCCTTGTTGGTGAGCAGCCGTCAATGAAGGAGGGAGCCCTGGCCTGGTGGCTCAGCTGGATAGAGGTCGTACCAATACTCCAAGGTTGAGAATTCGATCCCTGGTCAGGGCACACACAAGAATCAACCAATAAATGAATAAGTGGAACAACAAATGGATGTTTTTTTTTCTTCTTTCTCTCTCCAAAATCAATAAATAAAAAAATTAAAAAAAAAAGATGAACTCCACCAGCAAAGGCCACTGAGGCTCCGACGACAGCTAACATTTTTTAGCAGTAAAATATTTTTTAAATTAATGTACGTACATTGTTTTAGACACAATGCTATTGTACACTTAATAGTATAAACGTAACTTCTATATCCACAGGGAAACCAAAGTTCACGCGACTTGCTTTATTGCGATATTCTCTTTATTGGGTATTTGCTTTACTGTGGTGGTTTGCCATGAACCCACAAGATCTCCAAGGCATGCCTGTAGTCAAGGAAAGAAAGCTAATGGACGGAGTGAAGGCGAGAAACTTGGAAGATTTAGAAAAACTTGAAGGGTTGAAGGGTCCTCTGAGGAATTCAGAGGGCAAGCAGGAAAGGAAGGGTGTCTAGCTCATCTTATTTGAGGCATAGGCTTATTTTAAGGATTTTCCCCATTCACTTCCTCTTTGATACTCTGTCCCACAAACAACACAATTTACATGTTTAAATATGTTTAAACAACATGAAGAGACTTCAGTGACTTCAGTTAAAAAAGCTGCTGGTTTAAACCAGCACGGTTAGAAGTTGCCAAGCCAAAGGCAGAGCAGCTCTGTGCTGTGGTTCACAAGTTCAAGAAGAGGTGCTGGCAGACCACAGCCCAGGCCAGTCTTTCAGAGTCTGCACAATCCCAGACAACTGATCTCTGTGATCAGGCCTAATCTGTAGAGAAAGGCATAAGTTAATTCTAGGGTTCATTACACTGTTCATCTTCTAGGAAAGCCAGTTTCCTATTTTCAGGTTTCAACTGTTAGAGAGAGACGAAGCCCACATACAACAAGCCCACAATAAACAGAAGCAATAGCAGCTATTGCTGAGATCACATATAAGAGCTTCAGACTCTTTCAAGGACGCTACCTCAGACTTGATGTTGACGAGGGAGCGGAAAGCACAGGCTCACAGGTCCGTGGAGCAGGAACTCCACCAATTCTATGTCCAGAGCTCATCTCATCAGCTCCATAAGCACAGCCTGGCCTCTCAAACCTGGCTCTCACTGTGAGCTGATGTGCACAAGCTGCCTAACCCCAAGCCCCCAGTCAGACTGGGTCCTGGCCAGGGTGTATACTCTCAGAAAGGTCCGGCTGCCTAATGATGCAGGGGCCCCAAGCAATAACCCCTGGCACCATTTCCCACTGATTCATATCACTCAGGAGGTAAAAGTGAACAGAGCTGTGAGCAAGTGTCCTGGGAGCCTGGTGAAATCCCAGCTAAGGAGTCTGCCTCCCACACTCATTTCCACTTTCACTTCTGTCAATTTGTCCAACAGCTTGACAATCATACGATCTTTATTATGTATGTTTATAAGGGGGTGGATATAGTCCTTCAGGATGACTGACAAACATGTGGAAACTCCTGGACTAACTGTCCTATTTGTGTCAAGTGTAGAGACACCCACTCTAGTGAGAGCCATGTACCAGCCAAGGAACAGCAGATTCCTGCCTGCACCAAAGGGTGGCTCGGCCCGTCGAATCCACCAGCACTGTACCTGCATAGTGGCACCCAGCAACCATGGGGTGCTGAGGGAAGCAGGTGAACTTTGCTAGGGTGTGCAGCACAGGGAAGCCCACCGAATTTATCAGATCCATCTCAGATATCCTAGTCAATGCTTCCTGGAATTTTCCACCCTGACTTACAGTTGTTCTATCTCCAACCTCGAGGAAACCATCATAACCTACTTCCCAACCTCTGTATAAAACCAAATTCACACAGAGGGTCCCAAACAAGAGGAACCCAAAGAGGCCCACAGCAAGATACATCATAATTAAAATGCCAAAGGTTAAAGACCAAGAGAAAATCTTAAGCAGCAAGAGAAAAGCTGTTAGTTACCTACAAGGAAGCACCTATATNCTATGGAAAGCAGTCTCGCAGTTCCCCAAAGTATTAAGAATAGAGCTACCATATGATTCAGCAACCCCTCTTCTGGGTATCTACCAGAAAAATTTAAAAACATTTATTTGCAAAGATATATGTGCCCCTATGTTCACTGCAGCGTTATTCACAATGGACAAGACATGGAAACAGCCTAAGTGTCCTTCAATAGAGGACTGGCTAAAGATGATGTGGGACATGTACACAATGGAATACTACTCAGCCATAGGATGAAAGACTGTCATTTGCAATAACATGGATGGATCTTGAGAGTATCGTGGAAGCAAAATTAAGTTAGGCAGAAAAAGCTAAAAACCATATGATTTCACTCATATGTGGGCTATAAAACTGAAAACAACAAAGAACAAACAAGAAAAACAAAAACTCATAGACACAGACAATAGTACAGCTATTACCAGAGGGAAGGGGTGATAAAGCTTAACGGGGATGAAATACATGGTGACAGAAGATTTGACTGGATGGTGGGCACAGTGTAATATACAGATGATGCATCATTAGAATTGTACACTGTCTGAAACCTATATAATTTTATTAACCAATAATTTTATTAACCATTGTCACCTCAGTAAATTTAATTTAAAAAACAAACAAAAACAGGAGTCACTGACCATGTGCCAGCAAAGTCAATATCCCTAAAACTCAGAAACCTCATTTGTAAACTGAGGGAACACAACCTGATTCACAGGATAAAAATGAATGACAGATGTGAGGAACCAGGCATAGGACCTGAAACAAAGCAGGTTCTCATTCTGTGTATGTTTAGGGAATGTACAGAAGGCTTATAATTTACAATGGAGTAGCAGAAATAGGATACGAGGAATTAAAACAAGTAAAAATTTTACTTGTAAGTTATTTAATATTTCAATCGGTAGAAACATGTTTCAAGTAAAATACTGTTTGTATTACGTTTGGTTAGAGATAGTACACGAGCGTCACTGTTACAATGAGGGATTCCACATGAGGATGAGGTATGATGTTCGAGGAACTGTGGCAATTCAATTTAGATGCAAGAACCATGACCTGAAATATGCTATCGGTCGTGAAAAGAAAAAAATCCAGCTTTTTAAAAACAGTATTAACTTTCTCCCCCATTTATATATTTCTATCACCATTTATCCCCCTATACCCTCTTCTACCCCCTGGCCCCCTTTTCCTGCAATCACCAGAAAGATCTAGCTTTTGAAACTAATGTAATGAGATTTCTAGTATGATTTCTGAAAAGGAACTCGAGATTTAAGTTGTTTAAAACTCAAATTTTCTATTTCTGGTGGACCAAATACAGAATAGATACAGAGGACACTGAAGCAACGGGGCACTGCGAGCAGCCCACAGGGCCAGAGTTTTAAAATGGCAATGAATCTTACCATAAGTTTGCACAGAGAGAGCAGAACACTAAACAAGGTCTCCAGGGCCGAAACACAATCCTCCACTCCGTTCTCGCCCTAGTGAATAAAAGGAAACACACAATGAACACCAAGTAAGAAGTTTATTAAAAAGAGGCAATCCACAGGGAGCACAGTACAGAGACAGGAAAGAGAGAGCAAGATGTGACCACAACCACAAATGTCTGGGGTCAGTGTAGAAAGCAAGGATGGGGCCAAGCTGATGGAGAATGGCCCTGTAACTATGAGGTAAAGACAAGTTAGAAAACCCAAAGTTGGAGGGTGGGACTCCCACACAACAGAAAGTAGTAGTTGGTAACACAAAAAATTTAAAGTACCTTTAGGTAACTTTTTTTTTTAAAGTATATACTATGTGTATAAAAATAATTATACTAATTCATTATTTTTAAAAAAGATAAAAAAAATTCAACCATAATTATATTACCCAGAAACAATTACTGTAAACATTTGAATGCATGTCCTTGTAGGTCTTGTGTGTATATATAGATATACATGTATACATGTGCATATTTAACAAAAATGAATTACTGTTCTGTTATGGGTTTTTGTCATTAACACGTTTAAAGACAAAACTGATAGGCAGTAGGCAGCTCAAAGTGGTCTTTGGTATGGGCATCCCTCACTTCCTGTCTTCCACAATTACTGTTTACACACGGCTTAAGTCTTGAGACAGGACCTGTTCTTGACTCATTTGAAATCCCCAATTGGCTCAAAAAAGAGTTTTGTCAACAAATAACTGACCCACTAGAGGTAGGAGACCCTCTGGAGATCAGTTTTTGACATTTGGAAATATTTGCATAACTTTATTTTGGGTTTTAAGAGGTATGCTCAGCTTAATTCTAAATGGCTCTGAGACTCCCTCCAATATGACATGTCCATAACTGTGTTCTGAAAATATGCACCACGACTTTTAGAACTTATAGGTCCCCACCCACCAAATGGCAATAAATACAGTTAATATGTAAGGTAAAAAGAAAAAAATTGCTTCAAAACATGAGATCATGTGGCTGGACTCATTTTCACACTTCCTGCACTTTTTGTTCTTCCAAACAACAGCCTGGACTTACCTTTAATCTTCGGCGGTTCATTCTGACGTACCAATTCGTCAGAACATCGACAAACTTAACCAGGCGAGGCACCACAGTATAGAGCCTATAAGCTAAAAGGAAGATCAATCAATCAGGCGGTGAGAATAGACAAAGCATTTGGGGTGCTTGGGGAAAGGGGTAGATACAAGAAAAGAACAAGCAACCCTGTCACTCAAAGGTCGCCATGCTCGTTAGGAAAGAGAATCAAAGTGAAGCAATCACAATGGCTCATTCACTTGAGGACACATACTTCCTGACTGTCAAGTGTCTTGGGGTGCACACAAACCGCCCTGTGAGCCACTGCCAGTTTGAACAATGAAAACCCCTTATGTGTGGCTGAGAGACCAACACTGCCCATCACATGACTCCAGCAGGAGGGTTTACCTGGAGCTGTGCAATGCTGCAGCACCACAAAATACCGACTTCCTTCCACTGTACTACTCTGTACCTCAACTAAGTCTGACACACAAAAAGTTCTAATTAGATGTTACGGGGCATAGCATAGGTCAGCGTTTCTCAACCAGAGCAACTCTGTACCACAGGGGACACTGTCTGGAGACATTCTGGCTGTCATAACTGAGCAGGTAGGTGCTCCTGGCATCTGGCAAAGGGACCCCGCAATGCTTGTTGCTCAACTGCTCAACATCACAACACACAGCACAGCCCGACAATAGAGAACAACCAGGCGCAAGCTATCCATCATGATGCCACTGAGAAACTTAGCAAGAACTGTGAGTAAAACAGAACAGGCTTTCTAATACCTCATTTACCATACTTGGTTTTATTTTGTTTTGCAAATTTTTTAAAATATAAATTGTATGTTTTTGGCAACCCTGCAAGTTTATCAGTACCACTTTTCCAACATCATTTGCTCAATTTGTGTCTGTCACATTTTGGGGATTCTTGCAATATTTCAAACTATTTCATTATTATACTTGCTATGGTGAGCTGTGCTCAGTGGTCTTTGATGTTAATATTGCAACTGTTTTGGGGTATCATGAACCGTTCCCACAAAACACTGCAAACTTAATCGATAAATGCTGTGTGTTCCAACTGATCTGACTGCCCCTCCCCCCTCCTACTCCTCAGGCCTCTCCATTCCCTGAAATACAACATTAAAATTAGGCCAATTCATAGACCTACAATGGCCTCTAAGTGTTCAAGTGAAAGAAGAGTTGCACAATTACTCCTGAAGATGCTGTGAAGATTGTTGAAATGATAACAAAGGATTTAGAATACTACATAAACTTAGCTGATAAAGCAGCAACAGGGTTTGTGGGAGACTGACTCCAATTTTGAAAGAAGTTCTACTTGGTTAAAATGCTATCAAACTGCATCCCACGGCACAGAGAAACTGTGCAAGAGTCAACTGATGCAGCAAACTTCATTGTTGTCTAATTTTTAAAAATTGCCACAGCCACCCCAGCCTTCAGCACCACCACCCTTGTTGGTGAGCAGCCGTCAATGAAGGAGGGAGCCCTGGCCTGGTGGCTCAGCTGGATAGAGGTCGTACCAATACTCCAAGGTTGAGAATTCGATCCCTGGTCAGGGCACACACAAGAATCAACCAATAAATGAATAAGTGGAACAACAAATGGATGTTTTTTTTTCTTCTTTCTCTCTCCAAAATCAATAAATAAAAAAATTAAAAAAAAAAGATGAACTCCACCAGCAAAGGCCACTGAGGCTCCGACGACAGCTAACATTTTTTAGCAGTAAAATATTTTTTAAATTAATGTACGTACATTGTTTTAGACACAATGCTATTGTACACTTAATAGTATAAACGTAACTTCTATATCCACAGGGAAACCAAAGTTCACGCGACTTGCTTTATTGCGATATTCTCTTTATTGGGTATTTGCTTTACTGTGGTGGTTTGCCATGAACCCACAAGATCTCCAAGGCATGCCTGTAGTCAAGGAAAGAAAGCTAATGGACGGAGTGAAGGCGAGAAACTTGGAAGATTTAGAAAAACTTGAAGGGTTGAAGGGTCCTCTGAGGAATTCAGAGGGCAAGCAGGAAAGGAAGGGTGTCTAGCTCATCTTATTTGAGGCATAGGCTTATTTTAAGGATTTTCCCCATTCACTTCCTCTTTGATACTCTGTCCCACAAACAACACAATTTACATGTTTAAATATGTTTAAACAACATGAAGAGACTTCAGTGACTTCAGTTAAAAAAGCTGCTGGTTTAAACCAGCACGGTTAGAAGTTGCCAAGCCAAAGGCAGAGCAGCTCTGTGCTGTGGTTCACAAGTTCAAGAAGAGGTGCTGGCAGACCACAGCCCAGGCCAGTCTTTCAGAGTCTGCACAATCCCAGACAACTGATCTCTGTGATCAGGCCTAATCTGTAGAGAAAGGCATAAGTTAATTCTAGGGTTCATTACACTGTTCATCTTCTAGGAAAGCCAGTTTCCTATTTTCAGGTTTCAACTGTTAGAGAGAGACGAAGCCCACATACAACAAGCCCACAATAAACAGAAGCAATAGCAGCTATTGCTGAGATCACATATAAGAGCTTCAGACTCTTTCAAGGACGCTACCTCAGACTTGATGTTGACGAGGGAGCGGAAAGCACAGGCTCACAGGTCCGTGGAGCAGGAACTCCACCAATTCTATGTCCAGAGCTCATCTCATCAGCTCCATAAGCACAGCCTGGCCTCTCAAACCTGGCTCTCACTGTGAGCTGATGTGCACAAGCTGCCTAACCCCAAGCCCCCAGTCAGACTGGGTCCTGGCCAGGGTGTATACTCTCAGAAAGGTCCGGCTGCCTAATGATGCAGGGGCCCCAAGCAATAACCCCTGGCACCATTTCCCACTGATTCATATCACTCAGGAGGTAAAAGTGAACAGAGCTGTGAGCAAGTGTCCTGGGAGCCTGGTGAAATCCCAGCTAAGGAGTCTGCCTCCCACACTCATTTCCACTTTCACTTCTGTCAATTTGTCCAACAGCTTGACAATCATACGATCTTTATTATGTATGTTTATAAGGGGGTGGATATAGTCCTTCAGGATGACTGACAAACATGTGGAAACTCCTGGACTAACTGTCCTATTTGTGTCAAGTGTAGAGACACCCACTCTAGTGAGAGCCATGTACCAGCCAAGGAACAGCAGATTCCTGCCTGCACCAAAGGGTGGCTCGGCCCGTCGAATCCACCAGCACTGTACCTGCATAGTGGCACCCAGCAACCATGGGGTGCTGAGGGAAGCAGGTGAACTTTGCTAGGGTGTGCAGCACAGGGAAGCCCACCGAATTTATCAGATCCATCTCAGATATCCTAGTCAATGCTTCCTGGAATTTTCCACCCTGACTTACAGTTGTTCTATCTCCAACCTCGAGGAAACCATCATAACCTACTTCCCAACCTCTGTATAAAACCAAATTCACACAGAGGGTCCCAAACAAGAGGAACCCAAAGAGGCCCACAGCAAGATACATCATAATTAAAATGCCAAAGGTTAAAGACCAAGAGAAAATCTTAAGCAGCAAGAGAAAAGCTGTTAGTTACCTACAAGGAAGCACCTATATGACTGTCAGCTGATTTCTCAACAGAAACTATGCAGGCCAGAAGGGAGTGGCAAGAAATATTCAGAGTGATGAAAAGCAAGAACCTACAACCAATATTGCTCTACCCAGCAAAGCTATCATTTAGAATTGAAGGTCAGATAAAGAGCTTCACAGATAAGAAAAAGCTAAAGGAGTTCATCACCACCAGACCAGCACTACAGGAAATGTTGAAGGGTCTTCTTTAACAAGAAGCTAATGAACAAAAGAATCTCATGAACTAAATAGATCCAGAGACATTGATGCATGCAACAGACGATCATATTTCAGAGGACAGAGGGAAGGGGGGTGGAGGGTGGGAAGAGATTAACCAAAGAAGTTATATGCATAACCCATGGACACAGTCAATAAACAGGGTGAAGGCCTGGGGAGGGGGTGGGAGTGAGGTGGAAGGGGTCAATTGGGGGTAAAAAATGGGACACCTGCAATACTTTCAACAATAAAGATAAATTAAAAAATAAAAAAAATTAAAAATACTTCCAATTTATATTAAAAAAACAAATTCACTGTTGTAGGTAACAGCAATATGAAGAAATATCTACTTCATCATTGCTTTTCTGTATTTCCTAATTTTTCTAGATTGAACAAGGGCTATTTAATAAAGTAGACCTGAAAATAAAGATAAATTTAAAAAATAAATTAAAAATGAACTATTAACAAGTATTACTTACTGAGTACCTACTATCTACCAGCTACTTTACGTATATGATCTCTATTTGAGCCTTATAATAACTCTAACCAGGTATTATTCACAGAAAGAAATTGAGGGTCCTAGCCTAGGGAACAGGTGGAAGAGCCACCCAGCACTGAGCCTGTGACTCCACCGTCCACATGGCGCCTGTGGAGGGATGAGGCCCCTGGACATCCTGAGACAACTCCCTAGGCCTTGGTCCAGCACCTTTCTACAACTAACAAGCCTTGACAAAATTATATTTGAGTGTTGAAAAAAATAATTATTTATGTACTGTTCTGTATCTCTTAAGATTTCCATAAAATTTCCTTTATGCTTATAAATAAAAAGTTAAATATCTAAAAGGCAATCATAAAGAGAAGAGTCCTGGGAAGATGGCCAAAGAGAGACATACCTGCCATCTCGGTCTCAAAGAACGCAATGAGCGACTGCATGAAGGACAGGACCCACCGGTCTGTGATGTTGGCACTTTCTTTAACAGTGTTCTCATTGTAGACGAATTCCATTTCTTCCTCCTAAGAATTGACAAATATTGAAATATGCTGCATTCTTAGGGGAAATTAATGTAAATAAATAAGCTGTTTAAAGCACTTAAACTGAGAGTAACAGCACACCCCCTCCCCAATCCAGGCCCACTGGAAATCTAAATTTCTAATTTTCAGGATTATGTTCAAGATAAGCTCTAAACTTGGGATATTAAGCCCTCAATTAGTGAGTACAATTTTGAGTGAAGTAAGGAGAATTTAGGAAAAAAATTATTCCTCTGCACAAAAAAATTATGAATTGAGAAATATTCCAAAATCTTCTAAGTATAGGGTTTAGTTACTTTAAATCTGAGGAAGGAAAGACAGTAAAATTGGCAAGCATTGGATGACTGTCCGTAAACTGAAAATGAGCACTAGGAATTAATGCCTCAGTTTATATTACTCATTTCACCTAGAATGCTTTACTCAACCCCTTCTTTTTCCTTTGCAAAATCTTCCTCACTCCTGAAGGACCACCTCACCTGTCCCTATTCACACAGCATCACCACCAGTGGCAGGGCCATGCTGATCCTTGCCCAGATCCAAGTGCCTGATGGTAGAGCCAGTCTCTTGCTGCAATGCCCAGAAGAGACTCCAGACTAGCAGAGGCTGCAAAGTGGGCCTGGCTAAGAATTGTTGGCCCAAGGAAGTGGTAGGAATGAAAAGCCAGAAAAACTAGGGGCCTGGGGAAAATGATTGCCTTTCTCAAAACACAGGGAAAAATCCCTCTGGGAAGGTTCATTAGCAGACCCAGAGAAGCCAGAGGCAGAAGGAAGGAAGTGCCTGGACTGCTGGAGTGTGATGTTCAAAGCTCAGCTTTTCAACCTGTTTCTCAGGAAGGAATTATGTCCCATGTTTAGTCAACATAATTTACTAGCAATTCTACTTGTAATGTGCTGCAGGTAAAAAGATGAGTGGAGTCCTGAAAAGGCAGACAGGCACATGCACAATGGAGCCTACAGGCCCAAAACAGCCAGGGAGGGAGGGGAGATAGCTTCTCAGAGAATGCTTGTGGGCAGCAGGTAAAAGGCACTTTCACATACATCATAATCATTACTTTAAACCCTAACAACCCAGTGAGAATTTCTCTCTCAGTGTCTTAGCCTAAAGACACCCACTGAGGGCCTTCCCTGACCACCAATCTGCAGCAGTCTTTACCAGGCATTTACTCTCAGTGGCTGACTTTTCACTGGTGCCGCCATGCCCCATCCCAACTGGTTCCATGAAGGGAGGGGAACTGGCTGACTACTTGAATGCAGATCTTCTACAGGTGAGGATCCTGTCTGCATAGGTGAGCCTGGCCAGATGGCCTACCACCAGTTCCATGTTCCTGGCCCAACAACGACCCCAGATAACTTTATCTATGGCCTCCGAAGTGTCTCTGAGCCTCTATCCATAGGGCCAGTGCAAACCCAGATCAACATAGCTGGGAGGGCAGAACTCAACCCACAGCACCTCGGCCCATACCTTCTGCAGCCTTAGGACGTTCTGGATGAAGAAGCGATAGGCATTGTACCAGGGGAGTAGCACATCCTTCAGGACGTCCCGCACCCCTTCCTCCTTAAAGCGGAGGTTTTCTGCTCTCACCACAGGGGAGTTGATCAGATATAACCTGAAAGAGAAAAATCACACAGGAAAGGGACGTAGAGAGTAACCAACTCTTACGTGACACGTTGACAGGGCCACACCAAAGTCAGCATTTCTTCTACAAAAGGAGATAGTTATAAATTCTCTTCTCATGGTATTCTTAAAACTGATAAAGCTCTTACTTTTACATGTATAAGACCCAGCATATTATAACGGGAGACATAACTCTACACCCAAATGTGGCGCTGGACCAACCTAGAAGTATGCCCCGTGTTGGTCTCAGCGTACGCCACTGGTGGTGGTTGCAGCAGAACCAAAAGGAAGCCACCAGGCCCTCCTCCCAGGACACATGCAGGCACCAAAGACTCACAAGGAACAGCTGTGTGTGCTCTGCCAGGGCAGAGGCACTGGAAGGTTTTGAATCTTAACACTCAATGATCTCTAGATTTGGAAGTGTCACTATTAATTAAAAACAAAACAAAACAAAACAAAACACCTTGGGAGGTCTGAGTCAACAGCATGCAATGTAACTCCCCCTAGAGCAGAGATACATTTTGTGAAAAGTTAATTACAAAACAAATCTAAGGAACATGATTAACAGAATGAGAGACGCTTACATAAAAATGACAAACACAAACATGGCAAAGCACGGGTTTTTACCTAAGGGCGTCAGCACCATATTTATGGATGACTGAAAGTGGATCTGGATAATTCTTTTTTCGTTTGCTCATTTTCTGGCCATCACTTGAAAAACAAAAGGGAGATGCCAGTCAGTCAATGCCCCAGGTATTTTTATAGTTACAGATTATTTTCAATTGGAACACAAATGCAAACGGCATACAGCCAACATTAAGGTACAGCTATAAAGTTGTCTGTCAGTATCGGTAAGCTTCTTTTTTAAATACTGTGTTGAGTCAATGGAAAAGCTTCAGGAGATGAAGGTAGGAAGACATTATAGTGTAATAGTTAAAAATTCAGGCTAGGCATTTACCTCAGAGAAACAGTGACAAAACCTGTAACAAAGTTCACAAGTTGTTTTTTTTTAATATATCTTTATTGATTTCAGAGAGAGGAAAGGAGAGAGGGAGACAGAGAGAGAGATAGAGAGACACAGAAACATCAATGATGAGAGAGTTTTTGATCGGCTGCCTCCTGCATGCCCCCGACTGGGGATCGAGCCCACAACCCTGGAATGTTCCCTGACCGGGAATCGAACGCCCGATCGCCTGGATTCTAGGTTGATGCTCAAGCACTGAGCTACGCCCGGCCAGGCAAATTTCACAGTTTTATTCATTGTCAGCAAACACTCGAAACAACCCAATGTCCTTGAGCAGGTGAAGAGTCAAACTCTGGGTCTCCCACAGCGCAGGCCATAGCTTGGCAAAGAGAAGGAAGGAACCACAGGAGCACAGGCACCAAGGAACCTCCAGGGAGTGACACCGAGCAAGAAAAGCCAATCTCAGAAAGTTACATTTGATTTGATTCTATTTACATAACATACTTGAAATGGCACGATTTCAGAGATGGACAGATTAGGGGGGAACTGCTGGAGGGTGAGGGCGTGGCCATACAAGGGCAGCAGGGTGAGGGCGTGGCCATACAAGGGCAGCAGAGGGACCTTGTGTGGTTCAGAGGGCCCAGGTTCTTGACTGTGCTGCTGGATACAGGAATCTACCTGTGATCAAGCTGTATGCAACTAAATACACACAGCAAATCAGTGCACATAAAACCGGGGACGTCTGAGTAAGACTGGTGGATTGTATCAACGTCCTGGTTGTGATCACATATTATAGTTGGGGGAAGGAAACTTGACAAAGTCAAAAGGGGTCTCCGTTATTTTTCACAGCTGCATGCAAATCTACAATTCAATAAAAATTTCAATTTAAAAAAGCATAGCCCCCGGCAGGGCTGGCTCAGCGGTTGAGCATCAACCTAGGATCCAGGCGATTGGGGTTCGATTCCCGGTCAGGGCACATGCCCGGGTTGCAGGCTCGATCCCCAGTCGGGGGTGTGCAGGAGGCAGCCGATCAATGACTCTCATCATTGATGTTTCTCTCTCTCTCTCTCCCTCTCCTTTCCTCTCTCTGAAATCAATAAAGATATATTAAAAAATAAAATAAAATAAAAAAGCATAGCCTACACAGCCAGACTGCCCGGGTACTTGAGTTTACCACTTATTTACTGTGTGACTTTGGGAAAGTTACTTACTTTTTCTATACCTCAATTCCTCAAATGTCAAAACAGGGTAATTAAAGAATCCATCTCACATAGTTCTGGGGATTAAGTATGTGAGGATGTGTAAATGCTCACAACTGGGCCTACTGCCATCCTCCCTCATGGCACATAACCTATGTAAACATTTTTAGTTTCTTATTTTTATGTTTTACTTTTAAAAACTTGAGGAAGTAGAAGGAAAGGAAGACTAGGAATCCCATACAATACTAAAAACCTCTATAACCCATAATTTCCTCTAGTTAAAAAGACAATAAAAATCTATTTTAATGGACCAGTGATTAAATAAGAGCTATAAGCAAAATAACTTTATAAAATTCTAAACCAACAAATGATATTTTATCACACAAAGTATCCCAGCAAAGACCCCCTTCCACCTGCTCCATGAGGCTTATCTCTAAACCCAGCCCTTCTTCCTAGGACAGAGAGGAACGGGAGACCCGCTCAAAGGATGGAAACATGCGCAGGACAGGTACTGGATGAAAGGAAGAGCAGCAAGAAGTACAAAACGCAGAGAAGAAAAAAATAGTAGGAACAGAGCTGGGGTGTTCCTAAATTCCTCTATTCACAAAGAATGGTTAGGGGAACAAAAACTTGTTATTACACAAAGGAGTGCACCTGCCTTGCAAGGACGAGCCCGTTCACAATCACATTCCTGAAAGGTGGTTGTCCAAAGAGAGCTGTGGCCAGCACCAGCAGAGTGTAAAACCTGAAAACAAAAAACAAAGAAATAGTAAAAAAGCAAAACAAGAACTGGAAAAGAACTCCAGCACAGAAAAAAACTATATTTACTTGTTGAACTGAATTTCTTTTGGATCTGTTACACCTCTTGGTAATTACTTTAAGCAAAGGTTCTTAATTCTTGGGGACATATTAAATCGTGTGAGGATCACTGAAAAATTACACACAGGACCCCTGCAGACTGATCATACTACAGCTTCTGATTAGAAAACAAACTGCTTTATTTAAAGCAAATAAAGGCCTAGAGCCAGGTGCTGACTCCAGTTGAGGACAGTACCATCGCCCTCCCAGGAAAGCCAGTTGGACAGCTACAAGGTAGAGCAGGTCAGAGATGGGTGGTCTTTCAGGACCTCACAAAAACACAAAACTGAATATCAAGAGATGTATGTTACCTTTAGAACAGGGTCATATGGAACAGTCTTATGATCAAAAAAAAAAAAGCAAAAACCATTCTCATCCAAAAGTCTAAAGAAAGACTACAGAAGCAGAAAAAGGTTTTATTCTGTCAGATCTCACAGGCATCTTCTATTTGCTTGATAGCTTACTCCCTGAAGAACTGCACCACATCCCTGTAAGCTGTGCCAACAAGTGAGGCTCTTGTTGTCACCTCCAACCTGATTCTGCACTCCAAGACCATCACAGGACATGAACTGATGAGGTTGGGGACCAGATCCCATGACTAACATGAACACCTGACCAGACATCCCTTCCCTAAGGTATGCCAGAAGGACCCTGGGACGGAGAAGAGGCAGCCCACACTTGAGGAAAAGGGAGGGAGGCAGTGTGCCACACGGGAACCCATGAAAAGACTGTTAACAGTTGCCAGATGCTATCATTCCTCAGAAAAACTCCCTAGGAATAGCAGTTTTTGCCTGGTAGCTGTTTCTATAGGTAAATGGACTGGAAACTAAAAACAGCACTTTCTGAAACATTAGGCTGGAATTTAATCTGATTGTGATGACTACTGCAATTTGTAAAAGCTAAGGACATCAACATTCCTTAAACACTTCTGTAAAAATACTAATGAAAGTATAATTAGAGCCCAGCCAGGTGTGGCTCAGTGGTTGATCGTCGACCTAGGATCCGGGAGATCGAGGTTCGGTTCCTGGTCAGGGCACATGCCCGGGGTTGAGGGCTCGATCTCCAATGACTCTCTCATCATTGGTGTTTCTATCTCTCTCTCCCTCTCCTTTCCTCTCTCTAAAATCAATAAAGATATATATATGTATGTATATGTACATATATATATATATAAAAAAGTATAATTAGAACCTGGGCCAACCAATCTCATCCACAAAAAGAAAGCAACTAACCTTCTTATAATTAAGAGGAGAAGGGTACTACTTTAAATAAAGTACCACATAAAATCAATGCCAAAACCCTCTCCCCATTTTGTAAAAATCTAGATTTTTTAGAATGTTAATTTTGTAAGGCTAGCCTAACATCTAAGCACATTTCTAAGCATCCCTCTTTGCATTTGTAGTGCCCCACCCATTATCGTATACGTAAATACTGATTACACACTGCAACAAATGATTTGAAGTAAAGAAGCTATGACCACATATCAAATGTTTATCACTTAAATTCCCAGTGAAACAAATCTGTCCACTCCAAGATGTCAGTGCAATCACTGAAACTAAAACTACAGCCCTCCTGTATGAGAGGTGCCTCCTCCAAAGACACTAAGGCTTGCTTGGTGGTGGGCAGGAGCCTCTCTCACTTGACACATCTTTCCAGCACAGAGCTGATCAAAACCAAGTGTTCTGTAAAACAGCTAAATCAAATCAAATCAATATAACACTTGAAAGAACAAGGAACATACCATCCTCTGGTTTGGTCAATGCCTTCGGCAATGAAGTCTGCGGGAAATGCATCTTCAAACCCCTTCTTATTTTCAAACGGGTAATGAACCTGGGCGTAGGGCATGCTGCCACTCTCAAACCAGCAGTCAAACACTTCAGGGATGCGGCGCAGCAGCCCCTTCCCACAGCGCGAAGGAATGGTAAGACTGTCAATGCTAATAAACAAAAAATTAGCCGTTTCCATAAATTTCAAAGCACAAAAGAACTTGCAGTTTAATTGCCAGTAGGAAACACAATCTCCTGACAAGCTCTTCATAGGCATCTATGAAGAGAAACATCGGCAATTATCACAGGATTTCAGAGAGCACCAGGAGCGCTCAATCTAGGTTATACACCAGAGTCTCCTAACATCTAACTCAAGGACAGAAGCCACCCTTCCACATTATGAAACGTGTCATCAAGAACAACGCAAACAGTGTTTGATTTCTATATGCAGCTCTGTGATCTGCTACAGAGACCGTGTCTTAACAGGCTAAGACCTAGCTCAATGCTCTGAATGATAGAACTGACACGAATCAATCATTTAGATACTGACCTCTCTCTGTGGAGATCTGAGATCTTTGCTCCTGACAGTTCTTCAAGTTCTGCCATTGACCCAATGCATACTATCTGTCAAAACAAAGTTAAAAAGCAGGAGTGCCTCAGAGGCAAACATCACAGAGTTTATTTCTGTAACACTGGTATTCAATTTTAGAAACCTTTCATCTTCAGGACAGTCATCAACAATGTGGCTTACCCTCACAAGAGACTGTGCAGGTCACTGTCTGAAGAGGTGAGCAGACTTCACTTTCTTGCTATCTACCCCAATATCAGAGGGAGGCCCTACATAGAGATTTTAAACATTCACAGCCATCATCTCAACAAGTATTTCTAGAGGGTTTACTATGTCAAAATCTCTTCCAAAAGTAACCAGCAGAAATGAAATGCCTAGACTATTAGTCTAAAGCATCTTAGTTGCTTCCTGGCACTTGAATTTGGTTAAGTTGGAATCTTATGAAGTAAAATCTGGAACTAAATTATTGTGCTGAATCAAAATAGTCCTATTGCAAGATGTTAGAATTATGTCCAGGTACAGGGGGTGAGAGATGGGCCTAGCTGAGGTACTCACAACAGGAGCTGCTGTGGTTTCTCACCCAGAGGTTATCTGCTACCTACTAAGCACCCACGGTCTCCTTCCCTGTCCTCACTGGTCAGTCCTGAAAAGCCTCTGATTCAGCTGCGCTGGAAATTTGCTGAGGTCCCTGGGCTGCTGTGGCTCACGACTGCTCTAATACTCTCAGCTTTCAGTGATGGACAGAAAGTAGCACCAGGGAATACATCTAAAGTCCTACATATGTATTTACACAGACATACCCTCACACACACCATCACTGGTTTTGTAGGTTAAAGGTGGTCTGCAATGCTTCGGTAACTTTTTTCAGTCTTCTTTTTTTATTGCTGTAAATTGGCTTTAACATGCTATGACTTAGTGCAGGATATGGAGTCTGTTCTGTCTATCAGTAACTCACAAGAAGAAACCGAGATATGAGCTACACAAATAATTTAATGTGTGGGCTCCCTGAGAAAAATACAAATTGCATTCTCCACTTTTACACAGAGCAAAATGGTTAAAAACTGCAGTAAAGTACAAATAAATTTAAAACCCTAAAAACATTCTCATTTATGTCATGATTATAGGAATGAGAGAAAAAATGATGAAATAAGGGGAAAGGAGAAAAGAAAGAAACCATATTCTTTTATCCCAAATTCAGATGGAACAAACAAAGGGCCTCAACTAAAATCAACACACAAAAACACCGCCAGTCTCACCTCCTCAAAGTCCTCGCTGACCCACAGTGGAATGGGGGTGCCCCAGTATCTGTTTCTGGAAACTGCCCAGTCACGTGCATCTTTCAGCCAATTTCCAAACCGCTTTTCTCGTACAAACTCTGGGACCCTGGATAAACAGGTCAGACATCCAATCACCTCAGAACATTACTGAGTAAATTTGTGAATGACATCTGCATAGGCCTTTGCATAAGGCTTTGTAGACCACACACTCTGGAAATGCGGAGCTTTCTCCCGGAAGGTGGTTTTCTGCATGGGCAGCAAGATGGTTCCCAGTGGCTACATCTGCTGTGAATTTGCCCCAGTGAAGACGGTCTTTAATTCAGGAAACCTCACAGCACCCATGCTTCCCTATCTTGGAGGATATGCTCCCCAACTAGAGGACTGCTATAGTCCTCTAAACAGTCACTATGATACTAGCTAGCCTGGTCCCACTGTTTAGTTTCTGGTTCATCCATACAATAGCACTTTAACTGTCACTCACTAGGTGCAGGCTCCCAATCACCTAGAAAATAAGAGTCCGAACAGGTAGGTTATTGGTAGCTGTCTTTCCAGGCTCATGTGCACATGGTATGAGAGGATCCAGCAATGAGGCAAGTTCCTTAAATTCGGCCTCTCACCTCACTGCCTTTGCTATGCTAGTACCACTCCTCCTCCTCTGTGATAACCTTCACCTAGCAGAACTCGTATCAGCCACCCCTCCTCCAAGTTTCTATTGCCTCAGATTGATAAATGGATCCCTACCCTTCGAGGTTAAGCTTTGCAGGAAAACTTCCCCAGACTGAGTTAGGGTACCCTAGGCTCCCGAACATCCTGTGGTCCCGTCCTGTATCATAAATGCCAGTTAATAGGCCTGCACCTCCCACAAGACCCCTGTACTAATATTCCATACCCAGCATATCACACATTAGAACTAAAGAGCTTCCTAGGTATAAAAATGAAAAAACAAAACAAAAAAAGAGCTTCTACTTGAGTTATCAGTCACTTTGCTAGAAAAAGTAGAAAGCTATGGCCACTTCCTTTTACTGCTCTGAGGTGCTCCCCATTCTTCCAAAATCAAATGCAGTTTTTAAGTTCTTATGGGAAATAAAAACAAACAGTGATTACACTCCAAACTCTTACTGAAAAATATTCTTCTGCAATACACAGATTCAGTCTTATTTCATTTCTGTGACAGGTTAAAGTTAACACCTCTCTGCGATCAGATCCTAGCTCCAAGCTTCTGTCCGCACGCACAGTGCTTATTCACGAAGCCAGCATGAACAAGACATAATCACCATCAAGGAATCAACCAGTATCAAATGTTGCACAGCTTATCCTGAACGGCATGTGCCTCAACTGCACGAGTCCACTTATATGCAAATTTTTTCAAGTGACCTGTGCAGTTCAAACCTGGGATATTCAAGGGTCAACTCCAAAGTTGGGAATCCACAGATGTGGAGAGTCGACTATAGTAACACATGGATTTTTGACTACGCAGAGGTTGGTGCCTCTAACCCCTGTGTTGTTCAAGGGTCAACTGTCATTATAAATGGCTTTTGTAGGTATATCCAAAAATAAACCTTTACCCTGAAAATGACTATTATTTAAGGCTAACAAGCTCTGAGAGGACAGCCAGGTGTGTTTCGGACACTCCATTCTGTCAACTGAATGAACAGCAGTCTTACTTCCACTGGGCTTAAAACAGACTAATCTATATGCCTCATAGTAAAAAAATGCTACTTTGTTACATTTTATTTAAATTGTGTTGTGTTTCTAAAAAGAAATAAAAAGAGGTATTACAATATATAATAAAAAGTGGCTATTAAAATTATTTTAACTTGGGGAAGTGTAAACCAATACTTATTAACTATATGACAAAGGATATAATGAAGACACACATCTTACTGCTCACCAGTAACACAGGTCATTGTTCCTCAGCAGCTGGTCTACCATGTGCTCGACCCGCACAAACCAGCTAGGCACCGCTTTGTAAATGAGGGGTGTGTCCGACCTAGGGAAGCAGAATGGAGGTGACTGGTGAGACGGAGGTGTGCAGGCACCCAGGGTAACAGCCTTCAGTGTCTTACTGATGATATACATGTGTGTATGTGTGTATATATACATCTGTATCTATATACACCTTTGCCCCTGGTCCCCAGCACAGAGCTTCTGAAACCCGTGTAACTTGCTGGGTGACAGGGGTGTCTTCTGCTCTAGCGCGGTGCTCCATGGGCTCCTGGGCGGGCTGGTCCCTGGAGACCAACCCAACAGCTTGGGGTTCTCAGCCACTTCTCTCCGTCCTCCCAAGGAGGGCAATGGTCTTACACTCAGCTGATCATGGTCACGACCTTGTGTGAAGCCTAGAACCCCAAAAGTGCAGGCTGTGTGAGTTTCCAGGTTGGTGAGCACATCCATGGGAGGATGCACCCCAACTCTACGGGACAGATGCTCCTGTGTAGAGGACCCCAGACCTCTCCCTCTGTATGTAGTCATCTGGCTTTTCACCTGTATCTTTTGACAAATGTGTTTCCTGGAGTTCTGTGAGCCCAGCTAGCAAATTAATTGAACCCACCCATGGAGGGGACAGTTGGAACCTCTGATCTAAAGCCAGTCTATCAGGGGCCAACCTGGGTTTGTGACTGGTATCTAAAGTGTGTGTGCACGTGTGGCAGCCTTCTGGGGTTAATCTGTGGGACCTGATGCTACCTCCAGGTAGACAGTGTCAGAACTGAATTAAATTGTAGGACACCCAGCTGGCGTCACAGAGAATTGCTTGGTGCGGGGGAAAAAACCCTCCACACTATTGGTGACTGAAGTGTTTTATGTAAGATGTAAAGAAGACCACAGGATAAAGAAACACACTAGGGAAGAACTGGGTTTTCTTTATAGCTGATGTCTATATTTCTCACACAACTCCTGAGAAAAGAAATAACTGTATGCATTCATAAAATTCTCCTTTAAACAAGAAGGCATTTTCCAAACCCAGACTCTAAGAAATACAAATGAGATGGAAACCACAAATTGATGGAATGGGCACAAACATTAAGTGTACACACAAATCTAAAGCTCTAGCTAAAACAGTATTTTCTCCTCACCTCCAGCAGAAAGGATAGCTATGAGTGAAGGTGCTGGCAACAAGAAGTCGGCCTTGTTCCTTCAGAGTCCTGATGATATTTTTGTCAGCATCCTGTTAAAAAAAATTAAATTTTAGCCACGGAAATATCCTTCAGTACTTAGTAATACAATATAACTGAGTATATTATTACTAACGCCTGGTGTTAATACTTTTACTGTGAGTAAAAGGCACAAATAACAAATGTATTATAAAAATACTTCATCCACCCGGCCAGCATGGCTCAATGGTTAAGCATCGACCTAGGATCCAGGAGATCTGAGTTTGAGTCCTAGTCAGGGCACAGGCTCGATCCCCAGTAGGGGGCATGCAGGAGGCAGCCAATCAATGACTCATCACTGATGTTTCTGTCTCCNTGGCCACAGGAAAACAACTGGCAGTGAGGGTAACCAATTCTCTTTTTATTTAGAAACTCTACACTAAGCTGCCTTTCTTTGTGGGGGGGAGGAGGGGGGTATTCTTTTCTTTTCTTCTTGCCCCCCCCCCCTTAAAAAAAAAAAAAAAAAAAAAAAAAAAAAAAAAAAAAAAAAAAGCAATGTTTAAAAAAAATAAAACTTCATCCATATTTTAGCCACCATATAACTTCATGCACTTTTTAAGTATATTCCGTATCATTAAGGTACTGTAGTTTACAATCAGCACTGATTACTCTAAGGTCACAAAGCTGCTTCATGAGTCACGTCAGAGCCCAGCTTTTCTAATTCCTATGTTTGAAACTACAGCATACTTTACCTGAAGATACTAGACTCCTGGAATGCAGCTGATAATACTCGTCTATCTTTTCTGATTTTATGCTGAAACAAAACAGAATCAACTTCCTAGAAAAAAAATCCTGGGTGTGGAAGCTATTTGGTAAAAACGAATTAATGAAAACACTATGATGAAATGATACCCTCTTATGCCCCTACAGTCACAGACCTTCACATACTGTCCCATGAAATCTGTCACTTCTGCTGTGAAACAGCCTGAAGCATCCACAGGGCACACAGGGACAGAATCTTTCTGAATGATGTTGAAGTCCATACAGACCCGATAATCATCCTGGGGGAAAGGGGAAAGGAGAAAGGGGAGAGGGAGGGAAGAATAAAACAGTTTTAACTGCGTGTGGGAGGCAAGAGAGGATTGTATGAGGAGGGAGGTTTACAGGAGAATTTTTCAGTATTCTGATATATAAACGTAATTGACTGTAATTATCCTCTTGACTGAAGTTAATTCAACAACCACACAGAGAACAGAGCCTTACAGCTGGACAGGGGATTAGATCACCTAGCCCAGTATAACCAACCATTATTTCACAGATCCATACTTATATCAAGAGTATCTCTCCACTCAGTAAGATGACATGTGAGTGTATTAAAATCAAATTTGACTTATAACACCAACATGTACGTACATACATGTATCACCAAAGCAGGTACGTACCTGGCATGACCTACTTAGTACTGCATGCTTGACATGCATATGGATTTGCATCCTGTCAAGGGGCACATAAGAAATCACAACACTGAACGTAGCTTACCTAGATTACCCACAGTGCTTAAGGAATACATTTGCAGTAGCATTAATTAGAGCAAACTCCTATATAATGCTAGGTGAGACAGCGCTCTGAACATTCCGCTACTTAGCTCATTTAATCTTCACCACTGTGAAGGCAGGCTGCTGGTGCACTAGGTTTTAACTATGCGCTTCTTTTGCAAAAACCAGCAACTATCCCCATTTTAACAGATGAGGAAGCTGTGGCACAAACAAATCACTCACCTGCAAAGTGGCAATGCTCATGTTCAAAACCAAATAGCCTGTCCTGTCTCTGGAGTCCAAAGTCTTTACTGCTGTGCTATGTTGCCCAAATCTAGAAGGGATTATCTTACGCTAGATAGAGAAACCACACTCTGGTTTGACTCTAAGACAAGATGGAAAGCCAGTATGTTCCCACCTGGGCCTGTGTTTAACTCTCTCTGTTCTGAGGGGCTGCCTGGTGTGATACAACATGTGGGTACCTGCCCATAAAGGAAGACCCCAAACGCACCTGCACAACAGACAGGACAAGCCCTGAAGCCCAGCAATTTGAAGTATTTAGAGGAGCAGACACAGTCCCACCCACTTCAACTGGCTAAGAGCTGCATTCCTGTACGGAGCCAGAAAGACAGGTCACCGTCATGTAGAAGTATGACTCTGCAGAGATCACACAGCCTATCAGTTGGCAACATGCCACAAGGGAGGGTTCTCAGGAAATTTCTACCAAATGGTGTTTAAAAGCTGCAGTTCAAAGATCTGATTTTCTATAACATTAACATGCCTGCCATTCAGGACAGATATATGAGGTATTTCTGTAATAAATAACAAATAATCATGCTCTGAAAGAAAAACCTAAACTACAATTCAAAATCATGAAGTTATCTTTTTATTATTTAGTATTAGTGGAGGAATCATACCAGTTAACCCTAAAACCGCCATGAATTAACTGAAATTTGACTAGTTCCTACAACTGTTAGTATTATCAAGATTGCTTCCAACCAATTTACTTTTTCCATTTTAAATAATTACAGTTGATGTACATTATTATATTCATTTCAAGTGTATACCCAGTGATTAGACATTACACAACTGATCATCCTGGTAAATCTTGCACCCACCTGACACCTTACATAGTTACTAGGATATTACTGACTACATTCCCTATGCTCTACTTTATACCCCCCGTGACTATTCAGTAGCTATCAATTTGTACTTCTTAATCCCTTCACCTTTTAAACACCTCTCTCAACCCCACTCCCATCTGGCAACTACCAAAATGTTCTCTCTATCTATGAGTCTGTTTCTGTTCATTTTTATACTTTTTTCAACTAGGTTTTCAATTTCTTGCTACCCCTCTTCTCCTTCTGCACACATCAGTACACTTGAAGTTGTTCCAGACTGTTCCTACACGGTCCTCATTTTTGGGGGGATTAATTTTTCTTTTTGCTGTTCTGGTTGGGAGTTTTTTGCTTCCTTATATCCCAAATTGCTGTTTTGATTCTTGGTTTCATCTACTCTACTGTTGATTCCATGTTAATTACTCTTTATTTCAGTTAGTGTCTCCTTCACTTCTGACTGGCCCTTTTTTATGCTGATGAGGTTCGCACTAAAGTCAGGGAGCTTCCTGATGACGTGTTTGACTCTGCATCTGGTAGTTTGCTCGCCGCTGTTCTGTTTAGTTCTTTTTCTGGAGTTTTGTTCTGTTCTTTTGTTTGGGACATGTTTGTCTCCTCAGTTTGGTTTCCTCCGTGTTTTTTCTATGTATTAGGCAGAGCTGCTATGTCTCTCAGGCTATGTAGTAGATGTCCTGCAGGGTTCGGTGGCGCAGCTCTTCTGATCCCCCAAGCCAGGCGCGAGGCCGAGGTGTGCTCCCAGGGTGGGCTGTGAACATTCTCCTCTTGCACTTGAGCCTTGATTGATGCTGGCACGCCAATGGGAGGGATTTACTCACAGGACAATTAACTGCAAAGACTGGCTGTGACCACTGAGCACCGACCTCCAACCACCATGAAGCATCAGCTATGCTGGGGCCCACCCCTCAGATCAGGACTTACTTCAATGTGGCTCTGCTGCCTGCTGAGTCCGCCCTTGAGTGTGTCACTTGAGGTGGTTGGGTGGTGATGCTTCCAGTGGTCTGAAGGTGTCCACTGGATGCACTGGTTCTGGGGCCTCCAAGGAGGTGCGAACCAAGGTCAGCCTCTGCCTGTGTTTTGCCCTAGGCCACCTGGCATGAGCTATAAAGCAATCTGCAGATGGCTGCTACTTGTGCTGGGCTTGGAGGTGCCCAGGCGAGGCCAAGCTGCGAACCAAGGCAGACTACTGCTAGTCCCAGGCCTGGGTCCACTTGTGAGAGTTATGGGGCACCCTGAGGCCACAGACTGCTTGTTTGAGAAATTTTAGGACTATCTGAAGCATGAGCCAAGACAGGTCATTGGTATGAAAAAGCCAGTGGAAACAGTTTGGGTAGGCCCAAACACTGAGTGGGGCAGGGCCAAACAGTGACAGCCAAGTTGAGGGAGTCTCAGATATGGTGCCTACCTGCAGGATCTGTGCAGAGGAGAGCTCAGGAAAGGAACAATGGCCTCTGCCAGCTGTTCTGTCTCTGAAAAAGCTGCCCTCATAGCTCTCACCTTGATGCCGAGTGTATGTCTTTGGTGTCTTTCAAGCTTCTGGCCCAGTGTTGGAGCTCAGAGTGAGTGAGTCTGAGTAAGTCTCTGTATGGGTTCTTTAAAAGGAACACCTGGGCCTGGCCGGGCATAGCTCAGCATTTGAGCATCCACTTAGGATCCAGGTGATCAGGGTTCGATTCCCGGTCAGGGCACATGCCCGGCTTGCAGGCTCGATCAATGACTCTCTCTCTTTTTTTAAATATATCTTTATTGATTTCAGAGAGAGGAAAGGAGAGGGAGAGAAACAGGAACATCAATGATGAGAGAGTCATCATTGAGCCCGCAACGCGGTCATGTGTCCTGACCGGGAATCGAACCCTGATTGCCTGGATCCTAGGTCGATGCTCAACCGCTGAGCCACGCCCGGCCAGGCGATCAATGACTCTCTCATCATTGATGTTTCCATCTCTGTCTCTCCCTCTCCCTTCCTCTCTCTGAAATCAATAAAGATATATTTTTAAATGAAATAAATAAATAAATAGGAACACCTGGGACTCCAGCAGTCCTCTATCTCTCTCAGTCTTAATTCCAGCTGGTTTTTACAGCCAGAAGTTAGCACTGGGACTTTGGAGCTGGGAGTTCTGGTGTGGCGTTGGGACCTCCTTAGATGAGACATCCCTCCCAATTTTTATCTGCCACACACGGTATGTGGGACCAGCCCATCCTGCACCTCCGCCCCCCCTACCAGTCCAGATGTGGCTTCTGTTGTGGTTGTAAGACTCCCATTCAGCTAGCTTTCAGGCAGTTTTGAAGTTTAGTTGTAATTTTGATGTGGTTGTGGGAGGGAGTAGAGCTCCCACCCAATGTGAATAGTGAACAGGTACGAGGTGATATGAAAAATAATTTCACTGGGTTCAACGTCAGCATGTTGGTTATACTAAAAACAAAATTTCTTACCCTGGCCAGAGGGCTCAATTGGTTGGAATGTCATCCTGTATACCAAAAGGTTGTGGGTTCAATTCCTGGTCAGGGCATGTATGGGAGGCAACTGATCCATGTTTCTCTCTCACATTGATGTTTCTCTCCCCCTCTTCCCCTTTCTCTAAAAATCAATAAAACATGTCCTTGCGTGAAGTTTAAGAAATAAAATTTCTTATCAGAGATGTGTACGAAATATATGCAGACAAAGGTATAATATTCAGATTTTGTTCCAAAACTATCCAGTCAAAATAAAAGCATGGGGGAAGGGATTAAGAGACATAAAACAGAATTCCCAAAATGTTGATAATTAATACAGCTGGATAATGTAAACATAAGGATTTACTATAATATTCTTTACTTTTCCACATTGAAGATTCCCATAATAAAAATCCCTGCAGAGGTTAAGTATGAAAACAAAATAATCAACAGAAACAGGCTAGCTTACCACCCCTATCACTAAGAAAATGATGAAGCTGAGAGGAGTCTTGGTCCCCGGGACCTAGAGTGTACACGGTTGGCAGCAGTGACTGTGCATACTCTTAGAGCATCACGAACTGTGTTAAACACTCTCTACATAATATTCCATTTAATTCTTCCAGATTTCCAGACAGGCAGGTACTAACACCCTGTTACAGAAAAGGAAAAGAAAATCCAAACAGGCCAACTAATTTACCCACACACTGGCCTGCTATTGCAGGGGTTTGACTTAACATGAGGTCTGGTTTGCTCTAAAATATGTACCCTTAACCCCTACACTCTTCTATTTTACTCATATACAAATTATGTTCAAAGGATTACATTTTCAAAAAAATTACTTTGGGAAAAATTTAAAATTAAGCACACCCTACCTACCACTTTGAGAAGAGAGGTAAGATTCTCCCTTCTGATCATACAGTATTTAGCCAAGAACACAGCAGGGGTGATGTGATGGGAACCTTGATTAACTGTGGTGACTGTGTGACTGTATGCCCTTGTCAAAACTCAGAGAACTACATACCATAAAGAGCAAAATGTAATACATATCAATTATGAATGAATTAAAACACAGCATGCCTTTTAGAAAGACCAAACATCCTTACCCCACCATTTTCAGAAAACAGCTCAGGGTGAAAAGAAATTGCAGATACAAGTTTTATAAGCCTGAAAAGTGGCTGACCTCATGGCTTAAACAAGAGTGGTGACCAACACACAAACGCACTCATGTATGCATGCACAAAGTCAAACACACACACACACACACACACACACACACACACACACACACACACACGATGACAACAAATCAATGGCCACTGACATTTACTTCTTATAACATTTGTAAGATTTGTACTACTCACAGCACCAAAGTAAGGAGCTTGATGTACAACCCCAGTGCCTTCTTCCTCCCTCACATAGTTGTCAACAAGCACCGTAAAGGCACCATTCTCTTTATACTGGAAAAGAAATGTTAGCTGGATTAAAAGATGAAACAATACCGTATCATTATATTAATTTGATACCAATTTTTAGAGCCTGAAAAACTTAACATGCGAAATTATTTTCAGTAATAGAAATGGCAATAATTCATGTTGGAAACAAACATGCTAATTCTATATATTATGCCATGAGTAAGTCATCACTTATAAAGAAATAATTATCTGAAGACTACAGAGAAAAATTTCCAACTTACTTATTGCAAAACTGGGCCTTTTCATTATTTCTCCTGGACGGATCCCCTACCCCCAGCATGCCACTTATCATAGTCTCAGAAAATATACCCCTTAAATTATTCCCTGGTACATAGTTAACCCTTGAACAATGCAGGGGTTAGGTGCACCAATCCCCATGCAGTGGAAATCTGACTGTAACTTTTGACTCTACAGTTGGCCCTTGCCATCCTTGAATTCAACCAACCACAAACTGAAAACCCTATCTTTAACCTGCAGTTCGGAACGCGAAAAACTGTTTTCTATTCATGGTTGATTAAATAAAATCCGTGAAATAAGTGAACTGGCATCTTGTTCAAGGGTCAACTGTATTTTCAAACACTGCATACACTTTGCTTCTCTTTTTCCTTATAGTCCCACTTGTTAGCAGTAAAAGGCAAGCCTTGAAAAAACAGGATGAGGGTGCCAAGCGCTACAAGTTCTATTTACAGGCATTTGACCCTCAGAGGAGAAATGTTTTCAATTTGATTTCCTTTGTAACAACAATAAAGTTAGGTTAGTACATGCTCTTTGTTTTAGTCCAACTAAAACCCCTTTGCTTTCTTACTCTCTGCCTTTGCAAAAAGTACTATCAGAAATGATTTTCACAATTAAATCTATAATCTTGTGAAAAAGGTATTAATATTTCCATGTTCTAAAAATATTCTGGTTGCATTTGCATTTCACTGGTGAACTCAGAACAAAGATGAAATGTTTTGCCTAAATCACACAACCAGCAACAATGAAGCCAGGACCTGAAACAAGGTAATCTGGTTCCAAATACAGTATCATTTTCAACTACATCACAGCTCTTTAATTATTTGGCACTTGCTTAAAAACTAAACAGGAAAAATAACTATACATTTTTAATTGCTGTAACCCAAATCACCAGGAATTGTTTTTGGTGTGGTATGACAGGTACTGAGAGGTGTCTTCAATGATTTAAAACATGGAGAGAGAATATGTGTGTCCTAAAAATTAGATGCAGGAACAGGGAACACATAGGTATCTTGTTGTTTATAACAGTATACCAAGAAACCCCACACTGCATTCCTCTCTCTCCAGGTCCAGCTCTGGACCCTATCCTGCTGAGTCTGAGACTGGTCAGCAGTCATCACAGAGCGCTATAGTGCTGCCCCACATACTCTCATAGCTCTCATTTAATATTTCAGAACACGTGTATTTTAGATATATCTCAGATGACTTTGTCCTAAGTCTAATAACTTATAGCATCTGTCTAAAATTCACAGAAGGTCCCACAGAAATTTCAGGAAGCTAACTGAATGGGTAGGTATTATTCGTTGTCTATGTACTAAGTGCATATTTCACTGACTTAATCCAAAGCTCCTATCTAGAGTGTCCATGCTCATTTTCTGAGGGTTCTCAACAGGGTTTGAAAATTCAGAAAGTTTAGGAGTCACTGACCTAATGGAAGAGTTTTAAGACAAACACAAATACAATATAAATCAAAAGTTAAGATACATGAGAGAAGAATGCAGTAATGACATTATTCAGAGGAAGAAACCAAAGAGGCATTTCAGAAAATGCTGCTTTTCAGATGGCATCTAAGTTCAGCCCTGCGGAGTGGAATAAGTTCAAGCAGACATGACATTACAGAAAGGTGAAGGGCTTTTTAAACAGAAGGAAAATGTAATGTAAACAAAGACAGGGAGGGAGAAAAAGAAAGGACAGTCTGAAAGAAGTAAAAGAAATGTTTAAAGTAAAAGATATATTAGGGGGTGTGCCTACGAAGCAGGTCTGCCTCATGCCTAGCGGAGAGCAACTGGCGAGGAATGTGTCGGCCAACGAAGTGACTATAAGCTCACAGGGAGGGACCAACCAGGCAACACATAGGGATATCCATCAGTAGCAACATGTAAGGAGGAAAAGGGTCACTAGTTAGGAGACAGGAAACACTCAAGGAGAGACAGATGTGAACAATACTGTGGGGTCCATATGGCAGAGGTCAACTATATTAACCACACTCTATCCCTGCCCTGAAACAGAACACAGAAGTAAGCAAATGCTTTATCCTGGGCCGTGAGGCAAGGTTTTGGCGGCGAAGGCTATGCCCCGCTGGATACACTTATTACACAATATGAAAGCCAAGCCCAGGGTGCGGCTCCTCATTCTACTCTAGGATCAGTAAGGACCCATTCCTGCTGACCTTCATCTTCTGTTGGTTGGTTGTTTGCAACTATAGCTGAGAATTCTGTTGTCAGAAAATGAAAATGACATAAAACAGCTTTATGACTCCTAAGAAAACTAAGTTACTAAATGTATAAGCTCTGTTGTGGTGCATAGATTTAAAGCACCAACCTAATCAATTTCCTGGAAATGAACTCTGTTTACTTTTACTCACAGTTTTATTCTGAGCACTATCCTAAATTTGTAAAAACCAAAAACACCCAAAATACTCCCTCGTCTACGATATGTAGATGATACGTAGACTATAAACAACCAATATATAAACATGTGAATCTTATGGAATGTGATTTCTTATGGAATTTGAAAAAAGTATTTTTAAAATCATTAGAACAAGAAGGCAATACAAAAATAATTTAATTCTGTTAACACTAAAGCAGTCTTCAGGCACACTCATGCAAACAATGTCACCACCGGACCACGTGAGCACACTCGCCACCATCACACTGCCCCAGCACCAATGCTGCACATGGGAGGTGGAGGCCCACTGTGGTGGATGGAGCTCCCCAAACTCACCTTCACAAAATAGTCAAACAGGGGCCTGTATTTCTTGCCTTTGAGATAGGCACCCGGAAATCTAGAAAAAAGGGGAAAGGCAAACTCACAATTAGATTCAAATACCAAAGAAATCAGGTTGTAGCCACATCAAGTCACCACTCCCTTCTGGTTTAGTTGTTCCTTAGGCAATAAGGTTGGCACATGTTACTAAAACATGCTAGTACTAAAATAGTACTTAACTACTTAGTGTTTAAAATGGTATTAGTACCTAAGACTAAACTTGAATACAGCTTTTGGGTTTATGTCTTATGTTTTAAAACTAGAGACACACACACACACAAAGTCAATGATTTGTGTATTTACCTTTCAAGGATCTCATAGTCGCTCTCCAATTTATAGAGGGCTGGTAATCTGGCTTCCATTAAAATGAGTGCTTTTCCTCTGACAACATCTATAAGAGCAACAGAAAAAGTAGAATCCAGTGACAGTCAGACTTTGGCCTGCTCTACAGACATGCATCACACAGCTCTACCACCAGGGGCTCCTGTATCACCTGCATCCAGTATGCGCAGCACTCGCAGCAGCACTGCAGAGAATGCTAGGACACACTGCATTCTGCATACTATACTAAAGACACAAACATCAAAAGCTGGCAGGCAGCTCACCAACTGTTGTTAATTGCACCTCTACCCATTTTAAGTAAATTAAACTTTACTTTGTCCTACAAAGTTATCATATATGAATGATTCAAAGTCATAACAGTAACCAACCAAGAAGCTCACAAATACTAGTCCTCCACACTCTCAGGCACTAGCAACTGAGCGACTATTCCTCCCCCTCCTTTCCCATGTACATAGTAACATACAGTGCGTGAACCGGTGGATTTATATGTCCTCGCCCAAGGACATGTCAACTGATTTTAGGGAGAGAGGAAGGGAGAGAAAGAGCTATGTGAGAAATATCGATTGGGTGTCTCCCATACATGCCCCAAACTGGGACTGGAACCCGAAACCTTTTGATGTACAGGGTGACACTCCAACCACCTGATCAACCCAGCCAGAGCTGAATGGGTAATTTTTAAAAAACAATTGTGGGACATAACTCAATATAGTTTTAAATCTGGTTTCACATAATACATTGTGAACATCTTTTCATATATTAGTATAAATATCTTTCTTATTCTTTTAGAGAGCTTTTTAATGCAGTACAAGTTTTTTTAATTAGTACACACCAACTAATACTAAAGACACTCATTGTTTTCAAATCACTGCTACTATGAACACTGGGATAATACAGAATCCTTGTTTGTTTCTTTGCACCCTTATTGGAAATGAAGGCTATTAACTGAGATATAGAAAAGCTTAACAATTATATAAACACTTAAAATTTAATAGATACTGACAAATTGCATTATAAAAACTCAGGCTAACTTAAATTCCCACCTATGAAGTATGACATACCCAAGAATTTGCCAGAGCATATAACATGTATACGATACAGTTCACTGTAAGAAAATGAGGGGTTCCAGAAAATGGTGGCTCTGACAAGAAGCAGAATGCCCTTGCTTTTAGCCAGGGACTGGATTTACAGCTAAAATACTGTGTAGCTAGCTTGGAAAAACAAGGGAAATATACCTGATTGGACATATTTCAACTAAGGAGCACTGAAGAAACATCGTAGAGACTGGTATAAGGGAGGGAGGTTGTAGAAAGGGGGAGTCCCCCTGAAGCCAGTGCTTGGCTGCAAGCCCCTAGGGTTAGAGGCTGCAAAGCTCTCTCCCTTTGGGAGTGTGGACTGGCATCCAAGAGCAGGGATCTCAAACCTGGTGCGATGGAGAAGGGAAGGAGAGCCTGTGCAAAGCAGGGGAACAATGTGCCTACAAGGAGAGGGCCGTGCCTTCCCAGTGAAACAATGCACCTAATGGCAGTATCGCCAGCATGAGAGATTCACCCCAGGTGCAGACCACAAAACAGGCTGTCCTGCAGTTTGTGGCTTCCAAGTAGAAAGGGGCCTGTGGGCTGCACCCAGCAGTGCCCTAAAGGGACCCTGTACTTTCCTGTTAGGCATTGTACAGAGCCCCAGAAAGGACTGGACCTGTGTGGCTCGGGGAAAGGGAAGAGAGCTCTCCTGCCGCCAGAGGGACGTGAACTGCCAGTGTGGAGATTCAGGGGATTTTTAACCTACTCTGAAGTGAGTTGGGATAGGAAGCATGAGGAGGTGCCCCAGCTTTACTGAGATCAGCTGTGCAGGAGAACGGCCTGGGGCTGACTTTGTCACCCCCTCCTGCTTGGATCTGAAGGGCAAGGGTGCGAGCTCCTTGAAAAGCAGGTTCTCTGCCTGTTTAATACTTTTTTATTTTTTAAATATCTTTATTGACTTCAGAGAGAGGAAGGGAGAGGGAGAAAGAAACATCAATGATTGGCTGCCTTCTGCACACTTCTGACTGGGGATCGAGCCTACAACTTGGACACATGCCCTGACTGGAAATCGAACCCTGATCTCCTGGATCCTAGGTCAATGCTCAACCACTGAGCCATGCCTGGCTGGGCTGTTTGTTACTTAATATGTTTTTGATTACTGAACGGTCATCCACAATCCTGGCTTACACTGGGGAAACAGGCCAATGAAAATTGGGATTTGTGCCTGCATTGTGGAGAGTTTAAACTGAGTGCCCTGTGAGATCAGCCAACTAGATCTGGAAAAGGAGGGGCAGAGCATGCCTACCTCTCCTGCAGGCTAGGAGCACCACTTCAAACATAAAAGGGGCTGGTTCAGCTCACTGAAGCCCCAGATGTCCCCCACCCCTGCTTAGCATAGTTTGATGGGGGAAGAAGGGAAAACATCTCAGGAGGGGCTTACTCATCTTACAAGAGTAAGAATCTCAGGGACTACTGTTTGGGAACTGGAGAAAAAGCTTAAAACACCTTATGGAGGCTGGGCAGGCAACATGCTCACAGGAGTCTCTCTGATCAATCCCACTAAACCCAGGCTGCTGAAACGGCCCATATAGAACAGGCGACAGACTGAAGTGAATCTGAACCTGCAGCAGGCCAGTGCATGGGGAACTAGAATCAGAGGACAGGGTAGAGAATGAGGAGCTGGCTGTGGAGCAGAGACTAATTTCTCCACAGTGAGTGCCTGACAGCAAAACCTCTAAGTAAGGGGAGTGATACCCTGAGATACACTAGCTGGCCTGCATCCTAAAGACTCTACAGAAGACTCTGGAATAAGACCAGCCAACCACAAGGGGGAGGCAAAGTAGTTGACAAGAGGAGGTGGTTCACGGAGAGCCTCAGACCTGCCAACTACTTAAGGACACCAGAGCCAAACCTAGACAGCTCCTGACATTGGCTGACACACAAGTATCACCCAGGAAACCCAAATCAGCATACAAAACAGCGAGCCTCAGATAATATAAGCTGCCCAGATGAAACTCACCTGATTGACTTTTTTATATAAAAAAGAGGAAAAAGCCTTTTATGTATTTTTAAAATTGTTTTGAATTTTTAAATTAATTTTAAAAGGATTTGTTTTATCCTCCTTTGATTGTGTTTTTTTGTTTTGTTCTATTATCAAGATTTTCTTGATATTCTCCGATTTACAGCTAGGATACTAACATTACAATCATGAACTTTATTGCTTTTCTCTGTTTTCTCACATATCTCTTATTGGATTCCTTCCCACGCTTTACCACGCTTTACCTCTCTCTCTCTTCTTGTTCCATTGGCATAACTTTCTTTTTCTCCCCATGTCATTTTCTGTCTTCCTGTCTTTGTCTTTTTTAAAAAAAGAAATATATCATATATTTCAGACAGAGGGAGAGAGAAATAGATCGGCTGACAAGAGTCGCTGATCGCTGCCTCCTGAACAGGCTCCAGTGGGGATCAAGCTTGCAATCCGGGCATGTGCACTGATGGAATAGAACCGAGATCTACTGGATCCTAGGTTGATGCTCAACCACTGAACCACACAAGCTGAGCCCATCTTTTTTTTTTTTTTTTAAATAATTTTCCTATTCCTACTGTCAACTTATATTTTGCTCGCCCTTCTTTCAGACTCTTTTCTCTGCCCCTTTTATCTTCCAGTAGCTTCTCTATTTTCTACTTTTTATTTTTCATTTAAAAGTATTAGCAATAATACCCTTTCTTCTGTTTCTTTTTGGCTTTAGTATTTGTGTTCTTGTTTAGCTCTCACAATTCGACTTTCTCTTGGGTTTTCATTGTGATTGTCAGGATATTTTGTAAGATACCCCTTGTTTCCTGGGAGTTTGGTTGTGTTTTGTTTTGCCCTGTCAGCACCTGTAAAACAGCTCACACGACATGGTTATGGCTGAGCCTCACAGCTAGCCAACCTGAGAGGAAGGCCCTCCCAGGCCTGGGTCAAAAACAGACTAGACCCAATCACAATATGACAGCCTAAAAAAGCCACAAAAGGGAAACATCTAGAGCATACAGCTCAGAAGTATAAGGAAAACACACCTCTGGGTATCACTGGACATTTACTACAAATTCCCACCCCACAAGACTGGGAGACAGTAAATATATCTAATATGCAGATACAAACATTAAGAGTCACTGAAATGGGGAGACAAAAACCACCCCCAAACTAAAGAAAAGGAAAAATCTCCAGAAAAAGACCTTGATGAGATGGAGTTAAGCAAGTTATCAGAAACAGAGTTCAGAGTAATGGTTATAAAGGTGCTCAAGGAAATTATTGAGAACCACAAAACACTTAATAGGAAGGTCCAAGAGCTTAGTGAAAGCGTGAAAAAAAGATGTAGGTATGATAAAGAAGAACCAGGCAGAAATGAATAATACTTTCTGATATCAAGAATACACTGGATGGAATTAAAAGCATGCTCAATGAAACAGAGGACAGAATAAAGGATTTAGAAAATAAGGTAGAAAAAACCCACCCAATCAGAGTAGCAAAAAAAGAAAAACCACTTAAAAAAAGTATGAGGACAATTTAAGGGAACTTTGGGACAAGATGAAGCAAATCAACGTTCACATCATAGGGATGCCAGAGGGGGAGGAAAGTCAGCAAGGGATAGAGAAATAGAGAAACTGGTAGGGGAAATAAAGACAGAAAATTTCCCTAGGCTGGTGAAGGAGAAAGCCACAAAACTGCAGAAGCACAGAGGGTTCCAAACAAGAGGGACCCAAAGAGACCCACACAAAGACACATCATAATTAAAATGGCAAATGTTAAGGACAAATGAAAGATCATTAAGGGCTGCAAGAGAGAAACAAGCAGTGACCTACAAGGAAGCTTCCAAAAGGCTGTCAGCAGATTTCTCAACAGAAACATTTAAGGCCAGAAGGGAGTGGCGTGAAATTCTCAAAGTAATGAAAAGCAAGATTCTCCAACCAAGACTGCTTTATTCAGCAAGGCTATCATTAAAATATTGAAGGTGAGCTCGGCCAGCATGGCTCATTGGTTGAGTGTTGACCCATGCTCCAGGAGATTGTGGTTAGATTCCTGGTTGGGGCACATGGCCGGGTTGAGGGCTCGATCACAGCAAGGGGTGTGTAGGAGGCAGTCAGTCAATGGCTCTCTCATCATTGATGTTTCTATCTCTCTGTCTTCCTTTCACTCTCTGAAATCAACAAAAATATATTTGAAAAAAGAAAAAAAAAAAAAGAAAAAAAAAAAAAGAGGGGAAATAGAGAGTTTCCCAGACAAAAGAAGGCTAAAGAAGTTCAGTACCACGAAACCAGCATTGCAACCAATGCTAAAATGACTACTTTAAGAAGAATGTTGAGAAAGGTACATCAGCATAAAGGGAAAAAATGGCATTAAATGAGTATGCATCAATAATAACCTTAAATGTAAATGGAATAAATGCGCCAATCAAAAGACATGGGGTAACTGAATAGACAAGAAAACATGACCCAAATATATGCTGTCTACAAGAGACTGTCCTGAGAGCAGAAGAGTAACACAGGCTAAAAGTGAAGGGATGGAAAACAAATATTCCATGCAAATGGAAAGGAAAAAAAAGCTGGAGTAGCAATTCTTATTTCTGACAAAATAGACTTCAAAATAAAGACCATAACAAGAGACAAAGAAGGTCACTACTAAAGGTATTGATCAAACAGGAGGAAATAACCCTTATAAATATATATGCACCCAATATGGGAACACCTACATATTACATAAAAAATTTCTTGGTGGGCTTTACAGGGGAGATAGACAGCAACAAAATCATAGTGGAGGTCTTTAACACTCCACTATCAACACCAGACAGATCATCAAGACAAAAAAATCAACATGGAAAAAAGAACTAAAACGACACAGTAGATCTAATGGATTTAATTGACATTTACAGAACATTTCATCCCAAAGAAGCAGAATACACGTTCTTCTCAGGCGTACATGGAACATTCTCAAAAACAGACCACATGTTAGGGCACAAGGCAAGTCCCTACAAATTCAAGAAGACTGAAATCATATGAAGCATCTTCTCAGATCACAATGGTATAAAACTAGAAATCAACCACTATAAAAAAAACCTCAAAATTATTCAAATACATGGAAACTAAATAGCATGTTATTAAACAACGAATGGGTTACCAACAAGATCAAAGAAGAAATCAAAAACTTCCTGGAAACAAATGGAAGTGAACAAACAACCCAATCTTAGAATTTCCTAACTGATGAATGCTATGTAGCCCACCCCAGTTCCATAGAGAGAAGCTGTGATCGAACCCTCCCAGAATCACCCTATGAACTTCTTTATCTGGCTGTTTATGTGTAGCCTTACAATATCCTTTAATAACAAACTGGTAATGTAGCTCAAGTACAGTGTTTCTCTGAGTTCTGGGAGCTGCTTCAGCAAATTAATCTACCCTGAGGAGAAGGTCCTGGGTCAGTCAGAAACAGAGGTGACAACCTGGATTTGCAACTGGGAGTCTGAAGTGGGAGTTGGTGGTGGGACAGTCTTGTAAGACTGAGGCTTTAACTTCTGGGATCTGATGCTAAATCTAGACAGCTAGTATCTGAATTGAGAAAATTGCTTGATGGTGTTTAAAAAAAATACACCAGAGTCCTGGCTGAGTGCCTCAGCTGGTTGGAGCATCTCCCCGTACATCAAAAGGTTACAGGTCTGATCCCCAGTTGGGCTGGCATGGGAGGAACTCCCCTCCTCCCACTCTCTAAACATATCCTCAGTGAGGACTGAAAAACAAACAGTCCCAACCAGTTTGGTTCAGTGATTAGGGCGTTGGCCTGCGGAACAAAGGCTGGAGGGTTCGGTTCCCGGTCAAGGGCATGTATCTTGGTTGAATGTACCTCTGGTGAGGATAAAAACAAACAAACAACAAAAACCCCACAAACATCAGAGATTCCTGGTAATGATGAGACGCCACCTCTCTGAATCTCCAGTACTTCATCTATAATAGGAGCATGATGTGCAAAAGTATACTAAAACCAGACAATTATAAAGGAATTTTTACTTTTTATATCTGTGTACCATTTTACCCTTTGGTGTATTGTATTTTCAATCTGTTAAAGAGAAAACCACAGAGCCAAAATAGCCTCACGCACATTAAAAGCCCTTGATATCAAACCTAGGTTAATTACTTGACCTAACTGATATTTCAACCTCTCCTAGAAGCAGTCTGGAATTTTCCATTCAATACCAATAATAAGGCAATGTATGGCACAGACTCTCACCATATCCACCCCAAAGAAAAAAGAAGTAATCTACATAATAAAAAAACCTTTGCTAATAGCTTTCCCTCAAACAAAAAACAAAACAAAACAAAAAAACCCCCCACATAGACAAAACGAATATCCTGGTCTAAAAAGAATCCTTTCTTCTTTCCTGAATAGCTCACCCCACCCATTCTTCCTATAAAAATAATTTCGTACAACATCTAGCAGCACCCTTCTAGTTACTAGATGGGATGCTTCCCACTTAATAAGGCCAATTAGACCTTCAAATTTATTTGGCTGAACTTTGTTAACAGATTAGATATGAAAACAAAGCAAAACAGTAAAACTCTTTTATTAGAGGGTTATTGTTCTGAGTAAGTCTAACACTTTTTTAAAAACTTCTATTTTTACTGCAAAAAGAAATGTAACTGCTATTCTTTCCCAAAATGTTAACAATTACTTTATCCATATTAATCATAAGTAAGCAGCCTCAGCCTCACGTTTACCTTTAATCTTTACATACTGCATATCTGGATTAACACAGAGAGCAAGGTTACTAGGGAGAGTCCAGGGCGTCGTTGTCCAGGCAACCAAAGATACATTTCCATCTTCCTCCAAAGGAAAGGTAACGAATACTGAAGGGTCTTGAACATCCTGAAATAAAATGAGACAAAGTACCTTTTTACAAAACCCATAACAATAGACATGGAAGAAAAAAATAATAATCCTGAAGAATAAATCGATTTTCAGAATAAACTGAGCTATTTTAAAACACCATCTGCCATGTTTATAAAAATAAAATACCAAGCAAGAAATTCCAAATATATTTTTAATATATTTTAAAAGTTTTAATAATTACATGTTGCATAAGGACATTTTGGTCAATGGACTGAAGATATGCAGTGGTCCCTTAAGATTACACTGAAGCTGAAAAATTCCTATAGGCTAGACTAACAAGTGACACAAGTATGTAGCAGCACCGTGTTCCAATTCCCTACAATGTTCAGTATAGTAACATGCAATAGAGGTTTGTAGTCTAGTAGCTGTAGGGAAACAGAATTTGTCATCCCAAAATGCGTCTACTTCAAATAAGGATTATTTTAGGTCAATTAACTTTAAGAAACAGCAGATATTGGAGAAGCTCTGAAAGCCATATAGAAGTTACCTTTTGTAAAAAACATTTACATTTGTAAGAGAAATCTCCATTTCTAAGGGTGTCTCTACTCCATATGTCCGTAAGAGGAAGAACTTACTTTAGAAACTCGTATCAGTGCAGAAGATGACTAAATCTGCATAACAACCTTCCTTTATTTACTATAATTTTCCTGCTAACCTCCCATAACTGACTCCTCCCACCCCCAATGTCTCTTGCCTTCAGCTGTAGATGGTATGTAAGGTGGTGGCTTCTGTGATTTTGGCAAGTTACTGAGTTTTCCTGGCTCTCTCCCATGTATATGGGAGGTACACATGCTATTAAACATTTTTGTTTTTCTCCTGTTAATCTGTGTTTTATTACAGAGTATGTTATCCAAGAACCCAGAGGATAGAGGGAAATTATTTTCCCCCCTACAGAGCAATACGCTATACCACATAGCCTAGGTGTGTAAGAGGCTGTACCATCTAGGTTTTTGTATGTGCACTCCTGATATTTTCACAAGGACAAATTCATCTAACAGATCCTTAAGCATAGCGTGACTGTAGTCACAAATAAAACATTTTAAGTGTATCAAGTGAATATATAATGGAGGTTTCACTATTACAATGATCTATTTTATAGTAAGTCCACAAAGTAGCACCTCAACAAAATAACTGTTAGGAAAATATTCTTCATTCCAAAATCTAAAAGTGAGTTCAGTGACAAGGTGTTGGGGCAAGGAAAGTGACTTTATTCCTAAATCTAAAAGTGAGTTCAGTGAGTCATTCTGAAACAACATATACTTGAACTTGTAATATGCTAAATTTTTAAGAGTGAAATGCATGGTCTCTGACTCCACCTTGTTCAAGCTTGGGGTTCCCACGTCCTTAAGGTTAATAGCTGCTGCTTAGTTTTGCATATAGATGTACTAATCATTAGAAAAATTCTGCTTGTGGCTCTGGAGGAGATAAAGTATGTACGAAAATGATTATCAAAGATTAGAATGGACTCACATCAATGAGAGTCAACACACCAAGAACAAAGAAGCTTTACAATCTTCCCTGGACCTCTGCTGGCATGCAAATGCCTGCAGATGTGAATCACCTCTTCACCCTCCTGTCTTCCTCTTCCCTTGACATAAAAGGCTGAATGCTGTACTTTCTTAAGATGGTTGTTTAGGATGCTAGCCTGCCATCTTGGCATTCAGGTGTTCTGAATAAAGTCACTTTCCTTGCCCCAACACCTTATCACTGAACTCACTTGCTCCTGTGTGGCAAGGGGTAGGAAATTGGACTCAGTTACAATAATAATTCAGCTCATTAAAGAAAAACAAAACAAAACAAACCTTAGAGGCAACAAATACACATTTACTGAATGGTGAAAGTGAAAAAATGCTGTATTGGCAGGATGCCAAGTAATAACTGTCTAGTGGGAGTATAAATCAGTATGACCACTTTGGAGCACTTTATGCTAGTATCTGTTAGAGTGGAAGGCAGCAAACCACAGCCCACAAGCCAAATCTGGCTGCACCCTGTTTTCATACAGCCTAAGAACTAAGAACGGTTTTCATAGAGTTGAGTACTCGAAACAGAGAGCATTTGTCCCAGAAAGCCTAAAATATTTACTATGTAGTACTACTGATAAGAACCACAAACTGAAATGCCCATCAACAGTAGGATAAACTAAATACTACACAGTAATGAAAATAGTGACCTACAAACAGACAAAAAAGATGACTTTAAACAATCTTGAGCAAGAGAAGTCAGACACAAAAAAGAAGACACTGTTCGATTCCACTTATATATAGCTTAGAATCAGTAAACCAATCCATGTGGTTGAAAGTAGGGGTGAAGTGTGTGTGTTTAACCTGAAGGGACCATGAGCAGGGAGGGCTACTGATAGGTTGATAAGGATTTCTTTATTTTATCCGGGTGCTGGCTTCACAGACATATTCACTTTGTGCAACTACATGGAGTAGAGCAAGAAAATGGAGGAACAAAAAAACATTTTATGATTAAACCAGGCAATAGGCAATAAGATATAAAACATTAACTTTATTATGTAAAGAAATGAACATAAAAAATTAAACTTAAAAAAACACACAAACCCTCTAAATGAAAATCTAAATAAAACATTAATGATTACCTTTGAGTACTAGGATTATAACTTTTTTCTCCTTCTATATATCTTCTAATGGTTTCCAAATATTTCACAATAACTATACCAAAAACTGGATTACCCTTTGGAACAACTGGAAAGACTTTCTCCTGAAACTCAATTTACTTCTGCACAGTTTGCTCTTTCCCAATAAGAGAAAGTATTTGTTTACTTAGGAAGAGGATAATCTTTGAAAATTCTAGGGGCTCACAAGCTGTTATGGAGATCTAACATGTAAAAACTTAGTTGCCAAAGGAAACCCAGCATAAGTACACAAAGATTTGTATTAAAAAATGTTTTAGTAACATTGTTACTATCAAAAAGGAACTATATCTTTCAAAACCACTCAAATGTCTATCAGAAGAATGAATAAATTGTAACCTATTTGTTATATGAAACACTATATAGCAGTTAAACTTGGAAGATTCCAGGATGGCTGCAGAGTAGCTGGAAGCTGTGCCCACAAATCCCTAGCCCCAAACAGGATTTATAGCTAAATCACAGAGCAATCAACCTGAAAAACTAACTGAAGACTAGCTAATCTGAAATATTATAACCAAGGAGTACAGAAGCCAGAGAGACTGGAAAGGAGGGTGGAGAAGTGGAAAGGGAGAGTCCCCTCATGCAGGTGGAGCAGCGGCTGATAAACCAGAAGGATACTGTAGCTGTGGAACTTCCTCCTCCTAGGACTGAGGGTTCTCAACCCCCATGTGGATCCCCAACCCAGAGAAACAGTTGAGAAGAGGAGCTCGAGTGTTGTCTGGCAGTGGGAGTCAGTGGGGATTCTGTCTGCCTGGGAGACTTGGACAGCACTATCCTGGGCAAAGTGCACTTCTAAAGTTACAGCAAGAGCCTCAGGAGTTCGCTCCAGACATTGACTGCTGGAGAGGCCAACACTGGTGTACTCAGGTCCTACAGAGGGGTCTGCTGGCTATACCTAGCAGTGACTTGGCATCAGTGTGGGTGGGTGGGTCGGTGGATTTCCTGACTGTATCTCCCCAGGGCCAGACAGGTGAATGCTGGGCTGTATGGCTGCAGTGAGGGGAGGCAAATCCAGGCTTCCTGGGAGTTCAGCCCCAGGCTAGTCTAGGAAGAAGTACTCCCTCTATAGGTTGCTGGCACCACCCCCAACAGGAGACTGATTTGATCAGCTTGCCAAGTCCAGGAAACCCTCGCTGGGCAAAGTTCCATGGGGGTGAAGGGACGAGTAGCTCAGAGCGGGAACATTCAAAGTGTGAGACATTTGGAGGCTATTGTCTTGGACTTGGATGAAGTGATTACCCCCTCCTGTGGGTGGGCCGGTATCATCCCCAATGGAAACTTTTGATCTGTCCTCTATCACTGAGCCCAGGGTGGCTGAGGTTGCTCCTACAGTGGGCACAGCTGGTTGTACCCTACCTGAACCTGCAAGCAGACCCTCTAGGGGGAACTAGAATGGGGACTCTGGCAGTGACAGGGGTTTGGCTTTGAACCAGGGGCTACTTTCCCCTCATTGTGTGACTGGGTGATCTCCAAGTAGGTGATCTATAAGCCCTATCTTGGTTACCCTGGGCTCACCCTACAGTCTCTCTTTGGAAAACAATGGAGGAAGACCAGGCAATCTCAGGGGGATGCAGAGTAGCCGACAGGTGAAGGCAGGCCTCAGCAAAACTCGGTCCTTTTACAGATCTGTCCCCATGCTGGAAGAAACTGACCCTTTTACACACATAGGACCCTCCCGTGCACACTGAGGTCCCTCAGACACAGACACAAAAAGTGATCAGTGTGGTAACTATAGACAAGTATCCCAAGGCTGGTTACACACAATGTCTCACAGCAACCAGTACTTGAACCCCACCCAAGTGACCCAGACACAACACACCAGTGGTAGGGTTCAGACCATACCAGAGCTCGATGCTGCTAGCTACACAAGCAGCACACCCAAAAGGGGATCCCAGCAGGCACCAGATCCTCCTGGGAACAACCCCACCTCAGAAGCAGCATCTCAAACAAGGTGACTGAGGTTTACCTGTATAGTTACCCAGCCTGAAGGGTTAACTCCACCCATGAAAGGGCCAAAAGCATTCACCCTGAACTAAAATAGGAGGTGCACATAATCCACAAGAAACATTCCTGGAGCACAGAGTTCAAGTGATCTGAATTTTGTGCCACTGAGCCCAACAAGACATGTCACAGCTGTGCATGCACAGCAGTTTACACACCATGGTCTTGTATAATCTTCACAGCCAGCCAGCCCAAGGGTTGATCTAACCCACAAACAGGCCAACAGCAATCAAGACAAAATTAAAAAGGGACATGATTTGTATAAGCCTCACAGCCAGCCAGCCCAAGGGTTGATCTAACCCACAAACAGGCCAACAGC